GTAAAAATATAATTATTAAAATTAATATGATATAATATAATAAATATTAATTTAAAATAGTTGAAAAGTAAAATATCAAATGTGTAATAATATTATTTTAATTTTTAGATTTGTAGTAATATTATTTGATATCCATTCACAATCTTATTGGCAAAAATTTAAATTTTTCTTTATAAATCTAATTAAATAAAAATGAATAATTATTTATCTTCATTATTCATATACTAATTAATTAGGTAATTGATTTTAATCTCGTTAATCTTGCTTTATCTGCCGGCAAATACTTAAATTATTAATCTAACGTGTTCCCCTTGTCATATCATATATTATTATAGATTTGTTACTAAGATAAAGGTGAATTTTTTTTTTTTTTTTCAATCTTTGGGATTTAAATATTTTCCAAAAAAATTTAAAATTCAAGTAGGCAAGTGTTTTCGAAATTTGACAAATTTCACGATTTATGGTAGCATTAAATGGGGCCTAATTTTTTATTAAAAAAAATGAAAAAACATTCTAAAAATAGAATGTAATTAATATTCCCAGATTTTCTTGAGTACTATTTTTAGTAAATAGTAATTCTTATTATATATATATAGATTTTGAAATGAATATAATATAATTTATTATCAGTTATGTGCAACGCACATGATGTGTACTAATTTTAAATAGACATTTTAAAGTAATTTTGCACAATTCTAAATTTTATATAACATTTTCAATAAATTATATAGGCACATTGAATTACACGTTGATTCCATGTTTCTAATTTATATATATTATTTAATAAGAATTTTTAATTTATAAATATTAATTAATATCTCTTACCCGTGCATCGCATGGGATTCGTACTAGTAAGAGAATCATATGGACGGAACACAAAATTTGAAAAGTGAAATGATATACTTATTATAAAAAGAAGATAATAAGTAGATTTATATTAAATAGTTTAAAATCTATTAAATATGTGCATTTGTATGGTAATCCAACATAAGTTTTATTATTAATAAATATGTGTATTTATCGTAATCCAAAACATCAGCTTTTGTTATAAAAAAATAATATTTTTTAGTCGAGTCATATTAGAAAGCGTATTATTTTGGCACATTAAGATTACGAAGCGTGCGAACTGCCACTTAGGCTTAACGCGTTCTCAAATTATATATAAGGGGGATTAATATTAATTATTGAAGGCATAATTTCTTGATTTTCTTTTTCTATGTTGTACATCTCAAAATGGACTAGGTGTCATTGGCGATGCTCTTAGCCGCTCGCTATTGTAATAATATTTTGTGTTCTTGTGGGACCCATTTATTTTACATGTTTGGATTGTATAGATGTTTTATTTCGAATTTATTCAATATTTGTTTTCTTGGATTAATTTATCCGTTGGATATTACAAACCTTAGAACTAAATCAACACACTTGAAGATTATTGGTAGCCCTAGAGGTGTGATACATTTTATCTCACATTGATTATAATGTGTAATAAATTAAGGTATGGTCTTAGTTCAGTTCATATTTGTCTTTTTAATTAATGTCACCTCCCTTCTCTCTGAAAAAGAAGCATCCAAGTAACAATTTTCACATCCCCTCAACTTCTCTCACGCTCAGACTGTCCACCAACGACGTCTTCATCTTTTGAACCGCAGTTTCCATATTTCAGAGCTTGGTTTGCGAGTTTTGGTTTTCGTCTTTGAAGTGTGTGACTGATTGTTGACCAGTGTGTTAGTGTGCGAAGGCACTGAAGCATTCAACCTCATCCAATTTTGTCTCTTGCCATTGCCTTCATCTCCTGGTCCTTATACACGTAATCCGCGATCATGCGAAATCCGCAGTTGCCATCTGCTTTCACATCCAGGTAGCCCTCTATATAATCTAAAATTACGTAGGAAATTTTGCGCACATGTAGAAAGTCAAAGATATTTGTCGGCCTAGTCTCTGTAATATCAGAATAATTTCACGTCACAATTTATATAATATAATTTAAATAAATAATTTAGTTAACATTCAGATAAAAAAAAACCTGTTGCCTCTTGCGAATGGAGAGAAGACGAGCTTGTCTGGGCACACGAAGAACTTCTTGTATGCCCCACAAGATGACCTCTATCTTAGTACTCCCATTTCGATGGTCGACGCTTGGTTGAATTGGTTTTGTTTTGGTCGACCTCCTGTATTTTCCTTCACCGCAGGTTCTGTATAACCTTGTTGGTCAGGGTCAAGGCGAGCGTAGACGAGGTGATTCACGTGTCGCACCGTTGCAATATCGGTCGTTTCAACCTGTTGACAAGGTTCCGAAAAAACTGATAATCGGTCCATCCACTCTTGTCACTTGTCCCTACAAGTATAAGATCAAAAATTCAAAAAAGTAAACAACACAATCTATTATGTACATGAAGTATACTAAAAAATGAAACATATACTAGAAAAATTCTATTCTGTACGTAAAGTTTAGATAAATTTTATAAATGTATCAATCTCGCAATTATACCTGACTCTAACATCTCTAGTGTGCTCCAGAACCTGTGGATCATTTCGACAGTAATCGGCATATCAAAACTGTGAGCCGCCCTTAGCTCACACGCACAAGGAAGTTCATGAGTGTATCTCAGTACACAGCCGCAGCGCGAGGAAACCTCATCGCTCAAGTCTTGCATCCGCTTAAGCTCAGCCTTCAATAAATTCAGAAAGTGATACAGGACTTGCAGTGTCAAATACGTAAAAAGGAATCCAGCATGCTGCACAGTCTTCCTAAGTCTTGAAGACTCTAGCGTGCACCTGATAATACATTACATAGCATTAGACCCAATGAAATTCATAATTAATGCAGTAATAACACAGTAAATATGTGTAGCTTAATAAATGTACTTGACTTGAGTCAGTTCAGACTCGGTATCCTTATCAACATTCTCCCACACTGTATCAAGCGAACCGATTGACGTGTTGAGCCACTGCTTCAACATAGCGTGGGCACTCTCATCCTACACGAGGTTGTGTTACCAAAATGTATTACCGAAATTGTCAATGCTTTGACAAAATTTTCCTTGTGGACTAACCATGCATGCTCCACATATTGTATCACTCTCTTAAACTTTGCGTACCGAACATACCGTTCACCTACGGTAGTGTTGTATTCATCCTCCATACCCGCTGCGACAACCTTCTTCCACCTGCCGTGCACGAACTTTTGAGCGAATTCCTTAAGTGTTGTATTCATCCTCCGTACCCGCTTCGACAACCTTCTTCCACCTGCTGTGCACGAACTTTTGAGCGAATTCCTTAAGTGTTGTATTCATCCTCCGTACCCGCTTCGACAACCTTCTTCCACCTGCTGTGCACGAACTTTTGAGCGAATTCCTTATTTTGTTTCTAAGGGATTGATAGACTCTGTCTTCCACATCCTTGTTAATGTGCCACGTGCAAAGTAAGTGGGCAAATTCTAGAAAATTCCTCTAAATATGAGTCATCAAGCGCAACTCCCTGTTAGTGACAATGGCATTAGGATGTACATCAGGCCCCATCAGAAGTCTCAACATCTGTAGAACTCAGTCATAGTTGTACTCGCTCTCGTCCTTGATAATTGCATATGCGAATTAAGAAGTTCTTGTCGCACGGCGACATTCCAATAATTTCCACCAACGACATCTGGTACCTATACAAATGAGAGCAACAAGAGGAAACATAGATTCAAAAAACTTACTCAAACATACTAATTAAGATTCATAATAATTTGTTATTTATAAAGTAACATACCTGTTAGTTTTGTACGTCGAATCTATACCGATGTACCAGTAATATGTCCGGAATAGACTGACTGCTTCAGGATGCGACATGAAGAGACGTGTCAACGCTTGTGTGTCCTGATCAACATTTGTAAAAACTATATAATTGCTATCCGAAACCAAATGCAGAGTCTGGGTAGTCACATCACTACCCTCGAAACTATCTCTCTGCAATTTTTCTCTATAGTTATACACATGTCGCCGAGTAGCGTTGTTTGCCGCATTTTTAGCCTGGATCGTAGCCAAAATTACTACCGGTTTTGCCTGAGCAGCAGTTATATCACGGATAATATCTTTAAATGAAGCGCTAAGTCCGCTATCTGTCGATGACCCTCACCATATATAGCCAAAGCATGATTATGCATTCTCTTATCACCATCAGGACTTACACTAATCATCCAAGAAGCAGATCTTGCCACCTGTTTGACTGCTATCTGAAGAGCACTTGCACGCTTTAGTTTTTTAACATCTGTTAGCAGTTTGATCTAAATCTCCAAAACTTCATTTGTAACGTTCACCTCGCTTACATCTCAAAACTTTCACCCTTCCTTCTTTTTTTGTGTTTAGAAATGACCAGTTCAAAACCATATATAATTGTCATTTCTTTTACCCACTTAATAGCTTCTTCATCACTACCAAATAGTCTCGCTGTAATGAAAGCATCACTATAATTAAGACTGTCTCCTCCAAAATCATCAAATGGCACCTGCAATATAGTACGGTGTTAATAATTTTATAAGATAATCAATTATAATTTATAACATAAAAAATTCTAAGTTCTAACATAATAATAATAAATTATAATTTATAAAATAATGAATTCTAACTTATAACATAATAATTTCTAATTTCTAATTTATAAAATAATCAATTCTAATCTATAACATAATAATTTATACTAATATAATTTTTTTATAAATAAAATTAACTAATTCATAAAAATAAAAAAGAAAAATTGCCCGGCCGCCCGGCCGACCAATCCGGCAGGACCGCCGCCAGTCGACCGACTATTGAGGCCGCGCTCGGTCGCGGCCGGCTGGCCAATCCGGCCAGACCGCCATTGGCCGACCGACAATTGCGACCGCGCTCGATCACTGCCGGCCGACTAGTCAGCCATTTTCTGGTTGGAAATCGTCTAGTAGAGAGAGGATTTTATAATTTGCTGAATTTTTTAGAAAAATGACAAGGAAAAATAGTCCAGGACAGTAAATAGTAATACCCAATAAAAACCTCGGCTAGCGCCTGCTTGAGTTTGAAGCATTGGAGGGTCCGAATTCTCCCAAAGTCCCGAAACATAAGCAAAGAATTTATAACGCAGACTTGAGATTTTCTTTCTTACCCACCACACCGCACCGCATCCCCACCCCAAAGACTTTGAAGAACTGGTTGAGAATGGCCGCTACACCAAATCTGGAGGATGTGCCATCGGTGGATCTCATGACGGAACTCCTCCGCCGTATGAAATGCGCCAACAAGCCCGACAAGCGCCTCATCCTCGTCGGTATGCTCTCTCTTTCTTTATGCCTCCGCTCTCTTCATTTTCGTTCCCGTATTTTCTGGGTTTAGGGTTTTAGGATTGTGGACTTTGTATGCTTGGATTGGGTCAAATTTTTAGATGATTGCTTTGCCAGGTATGTCCTAGTTCCCCAAATTTCTTTGGAGAATGAGAGTTGGTCTGATTGAGTTTTGGCCAAATTTGCGGGTAGATGCTGACCATTATAGTCCATGGAGACCTGTAATTCTTAATTTTGAGAAAGTTTAATTTTATCAGAATGCGGTCTTATTTGAATTAGTAAATATGAAAAATGTTTTTTCTTCATTGACATAACATGTCTAGTTTTTTAGGTGAAATAAGCATCTTATTTTGCTCTCGACGTTTTTTTTCTTTCTTATGCTTATTGCATCTTTTGAAATTGGGAACTACAATGAACATGTTGTACTCTTTGAATAATAGTTACCAGAAATAATTTGGAGAGTGCTTGAAATGCAGGATGGGGTTGGAAGTTGTGTTCATATGACAAGGATTTATTGCATATGTAATTCTGTAATTGAAGAGAAAAACTTGACTTTTTATGTTGAGGAGGATTATGTTTTTATGTTGTGCATTTCATATTGTTTTTCAGGTCCACCGGGGTCGGGAAAAGGTACGCAATCACCAGTAATTAAGGATGAATATTGTTTATGCCATCTGGCCACTGGTGACATGCTTAGAGCTGCTGTTTCTGCCAAGACTGCCCTCGGTGTTAAAGCCAAAGAGGCCATGGAAAAGGTAGATCTATATATAGATGCCGTTATTTCTTGTGATACATCTTGGAATGACATAAATTATTCTAACCAAAGTAGTCTTGTTATTTTCCAGGGAGAACTTGTTTCTGATGATTTGGTGGTTGGGATTATAGATGATGCCTTGAAAAAACCCTCTTGTCAGAAAGGTTTTATTCTTGATGGATTTCCAAGAACAGTTGTCCAAGCGCAGAAGGTAAAATATTTACATATCACATTTGTCGTTAGTTTATGATCACTATTGTCTGATTGCATCTCTGTTTCTTGTATTCAGCTTGATGAGATGCTTGAAAAACGTGGGGTCAAGGTTGACAAAGTGCTTAACTTTGCAATTGATGATGCTATTTTGGAGGAGAGAATCACTGGCCGCTGGATTCATCCATCAAGTGGTCGTACATATCATACAAAATTTGCACCACCAAAATTGCCTGGTGTTGATGATGTAATTAGCATCTCTTTTTTTTTTTTTTTTTTTCCGTTATGGTAATTGATAATATTTATAGTTTTAGTTTCTCTTTCTTGCTATAGAAGTGATGTATTATGTACACTCATTTCACATTATGGAGTATTTTGGTTATGTGCTTTGTCATCGCCTGTTCTGTATATAACTAGAGTCTTTGACAGCTGACTTTTTTTATCTTTTGTATCTACTATTTTGTTAGTTGTTGCTTTGCCGAATCTAATTTTTATCTTTTGAAGGTAACTGGAGAACCTTTAATTCAGCGCAAGGATGATACTGCTGCTGTTCTGAAGTCAAGGCTTGAAGCTTTTCACAAGCAGACTGAACCAGTATGCTTCTTTCTTGTTATAGAATTGCATTTACCTTGATGACTCCACTTCCCTGTTAGTTTAGTTTTGGGAATCGGTAAAGTCAGTGGAAGATAGAAACTTACGTTCAATATTTACAAGTTGCAGCAATGTTATAGATGAACTTACTCCTTATATGTTTGGAAATGTGCAATGATAAAGAAATTATTTCATTTCATATATGCTATTTTGCCCCATTTTGAGCTATAAGCTAAAGATCGATTAGATATTTTGTTCATGCTTTATATTTTTTTATGAAGTATTCAGAAAAAAGGTGAAAATGGAAAATTACATGCGATTTTTAATTTTAACTCAATTTTTAATGCCACATCTTTGTGAAGCATAGCAATAGTCCTCTCTCCCCACTTTGTTTTGTCTTCCTCATTCTTGTTGATCCTGATGGAGCATTGTTTCCCATTAATTTATTTGTTGTTAATTTTTTGTTTATATTTCATCGATGTAGTAACTTGCACCTTACTGGTACGTACTTTTCTGTGGACTCTATAAGACATAAATTTATCCTATTTAACTGAGAAGCTTACAAAATGCCATTATCACCCATGTTCTTTACAATCTATACCTTCCCTAATTGAACATTTATATTATTGAGCTGAATGGACAGGAAAATGATGCTGCAGACCGTGTTATTTGTAGTTAAACCGTGGTTAATTACCAATAACTCATATGGTTTATTATCGCCATCCACTGGTGTCCCCAATTTTTAGAAACTGCAATTTTTTAGGAAATTGTCAAATCTGTTTTTGAACTGTGTATGTGGCAGTTTGATATCGTTGAGGCTTTGGCACGCGTGAAACAACTTTCCTGTTATTTGACCATATAGCATTAGATGATATTACATTAGGACTACAATCTCAAATTTCTTATCTAATGTTGTCAAATGTGTCTGAACTTTATCAGTATTAGTTCGGAGTTTGTAACAGACAATTTATTGGCATCTAAAAAATAAAAAATAAATAAATTGGCCACTTCATCATGGTTGCCAGTCATTTCCTATGTAAATAAAAGTCTTTGTTTAATTCTCTGTTGAAATATGGATTTTTCAGGTAATCGACTACTACAGCAAAAAGGGTATTGTTGCCAACCTACCAGCGGAAAAGCCTCCACAAGAAGTGACATCAGAGGTTAAGAAGGTACTTTCCTGATAAGGGGGCTGCCAGCTTTTTTGCCCGCTACAGAGAAATAAACATTTCAACTCTCGGCTTTTGGTTATTGTATTTTCCGATACATGTTTTGGATTCCCATGAGAGGCTACTATTTCAGACCTTGTTTTGCTGAGTCAGTGTTAGCCATTTGACTTGTTTGAACGGGCTACAGAATAATTTTATCGACTTTTTGCAGGAGCTCTGCCTATTGCATTTTCTCTATGGATCATGTTACAACAACATAAAGGATGACATAAACTTTGGCAAAATAACACCTTGTCACGATCTTATTATTTTACACATCACATCAGTTTTAAAATCTAAAAACTATTATAAATCCATTATATGCTTGTTTGGTTAGACCATTCTTATTGGTGACCCAACCTATTGGGTCACCAGCTAAAAGACAAAAAAAAAAAAAAAAAAATATAAAATAAAAAAGAAAATGAAAGTGGCAGAATTTTGGGCGACCCAGGTCACATTGTGACCTTGGGTCGCAACTCAGCCGTGCCTCAATTTCTTTCTTTCTTTTTTTTTTGCATGCTTTTTGATAAAGGGATGAAAGGAATGACACTTGTCCCATTTCCGTTGGTCACTATAAATTTTATATAATAAGAAAAGTATAATCCAAATTATTGATATTATTTTATATTAAAAAATAAATAAAAAATATCAAAATTCGTATTTTTTCATTCTCTATAAATAGAGACCACTCTTGATATATTTTGGAACACAATTGAAATTTCTCTCTTTTCACCTTTTTTTAATCGTACCTTATTAATTTTATCATCTTTTTTTATTTTTCTTAATTTCACAACTAAAACAATACCAAAAAATCTATTGTAGATAATATTTAATAAATAAAAATAAAATAAATATTATGTTGTGTTGGGTTGTGGATAAAGATATGTAAGTTGTTAAAAGTTAGGTTGTGTAGGTGGATGAAAGAGAAATAATTTTTTATTATTGGGTTGAGTTGGGTTGGGTTGTGGATAAAAATAGTCTTAATGACTTTTTACCATAAAATAGTATTTTTGACAATTAGATTACTTAACTTTTCTCAATCCAGCCAGGAAAAAAAAAGTATGTTAATTAACTTTTCAAGTTAGCCTTTTTTTGGCTAAGTTGCTAAAAAAAACTCTGAGAAATGAATTGAGAAATGAAGGGTGGGCTTGTTTATAAATTAATCTGCTCAAAATAATTTTTTTTTGTTAAATACAGAAAAGATTATATTGTTAGTTTAGTGACATTTTTAGTTGATTAATAAAATAATATTTAAAATAAAATAACCAAAATTGATTTGATTTGATGTAAAAGTAAGAGAGATGATGTGAAGTGATGGTTAGTTAAAATTATGTGAGTGGATAAATAGAGTTAGTGTAAGGGTGATTGATATTATTTAATTATATGAATAATATTAAAGATAGTTGAGTCGAGTTAAAGTTGAGTCATATTTTTAGTATGGATTAAATTTGAATGAGATAATTTGTAAACAACTGCCCTCGAACAGCTTTGGACTGGCTTTTTAAGGCAAAAAGTAAAAGTCATATATACCTTTTTTCTTTCATGCTCGCAACCTTTGTGAACTCAGAACAAAAAGTAGAGTAAATGTTTGGGTCAGCCCCTCTTCCCGCACAGACATACAACCTGAATAAGGGAGGTTCGATTATCTTGTCCCAATTTTACGTGTTCTTGTTCTCACCCTAACATGTATCCTCACCTTGTTCACCTTCAAGTTCCAATTCTTTTTAGCAACCCGCATAAATTAGTACAGACAAATCCATTTTACTCATTCCACCAAACCTTTTCTACACTCTCAAGAGTTCTATTTGTCTATAAATGAAAGATCTCTGTTTTTTGTTTTTTACCTCACCATATTTTTTTTTTGTACTAGGCGATGGAGATTGGGGATTTCTTCTGCTGACGGCTTACATAATTACATTATATTTTTAATCACTTTAATAAATATTGTAAATGTGCTTATAAGAAATTTTACACGTTAACAACTAGACATGGCCAGGATCAGCCCGGACCACCGGGTCAACCTGGATCGCCGGTCGGCCAGGAACTGACTGTGCTACAAACGGGTCATTGAGTTGGACCCATGCCACAAATGAGCTGGTTCTGGGTCTTAGTTTTTTTTAACCCGTCGGTTCCAAGCCGAAAGATGGGTCCGGGTTTTCAACCATTTTTTTATTATTTTATTTTATTTTTTTCTCTGGGTAGGGTCGGGCAGGGTCGACTTGACTGTTGGAGACCCGAAGACTAGATTCGAATCAATCTGACCATTGAAAATCCAACGGACAATTTTTTATTTTTTTTAAGAAAAAAATTTGCGGGTCGGGTCAAAACCTGGTTCTGGGTCGCTCAACGATCAGTTTTTTGAATCGCGCCGTTGGATCATTTGACCGTTAAGATCCAATGGCCATCTTTTGCCTGACCCGTCGGGTTGACCCGGACCCGGCTGGTTTCCAACCGAAAATAAAAAAAAAAATGAGAAAATTAAAAAAAAAAACCTATAAATAACCCCCACCCCAATTTATTTTTCTTCATCCCATTGTGTTAACAATTTCTCTTCTCCCTCAATTCTACATTCTTTAAGTGTTCGGTTTTAAGATTTTGTGCTCGGTTTGCAAGAAAATCACCCAATTACATATAATTTCGGTTCCACACTTCTTATTCTATAAATTCACAATAACTTCGGTTTCAGTTCTATAATTTTATTCTCATTTATATCATTTTCACCTCTTTTTTATTTTATAAATTATCCTTCAAAAATTTACAAAATGTCGAGCTCCCGTGGTGGTCGTGGCTCGGGCTCCAGACAAAAGCATAAAAATAGAGGCGTATCTTCTTCGAGACCTCCATTGCCGATAGTGGAACCCTTTGTAATAGGTGGAATAATGTGGACTTGGAACCCTTTGTATTGACGTTATAGTGATACCTCGATACCCTTGAAATTGTGGACATAAATTTTCAAGTTGAAACCTAAAATTGTGCCTTGAGAGTGTTGTTGAACCTTTTTTCGAGCCTTTTTCCGAGAGGTCTGAGTTCCACTAATTTGTTAGAAGTGCTTAATCAATAAAGTTATTGATTAAGATAAATTCATAAATTTTCCGAGTTTGAGGGAAAGTTATTTATAAGAATGTTCTGCCCTAAATTGTAGATTTCGAGGAGTCGTGACCTCGAGCGATTGAGTGCAGAATCTACAATATCAGCATCATCCGGACCAGGTGACTGTTGATAAACCTTACCGTGTATGTTATTCTTTATAATTGCTTGGCTTGATAATCAATATATGCATATGAACCATTAGTCTTCGAGGGTGTATCTCCCGTTGATGGACGGTTCTCCTATTTGTGCCTAATGAGAGTGTATCTCCCGTGGATGTTGGTCCGACGGTTTAGCTCCTGTTGATGGTTGTGCCGACGGTTTAGATGTGAGCACATGAGCGTAGGGCTATATAGGAGGTAGACTAGATGATTTGTGTTCATACTGCGATTATGATTTTAAGTTATTATACTGAATAGACTACATGGTATTCCCACGGTGAGCTAGTTGATTTACTCACCCCCATATCTTCCCATTTTCAGGTTGAGCTGGTGGCCGTGGCACAACACGGGCGAGCAGGGTCATTATTATGTTTGTGATTATGAATTATGTACCTGCTTCCGCTTATATTTATTATTTATTTCCAAAAACTTGTATGTTGAATTTGGATATGTTGAGCTGTATACGCTTGGTTATGATTTGAGATTATGTTATTGATTATCGGGATTTATTGTTCTGGTATATCTTATGATTCGAGACTGTGGATATTGGTTTATGTCTCGTTTGTCGTTATGTGTATGTTATTTGGCTTAAGTTGTGTATTAAGCTATGTGTAAATGCTTGTATGATGTTGAGTAATGCCCAGAAAAAGGTTTTTAATTAGATAATGATTTTTGAAAAATTTATACTTGTTTTTGAGAACATTCGGTAATTTTCTTTTAAAAACAACGGGGTGTTATATTGTCCTACCAAACGAGGCTTATTTGAATATATGAAGTTTATAAACTAACCAAATAAGCTTCAAACTAACTTATTTGACTACCAAAACAAGTCTGGAGACTCTTCACCAAACCAAATCAGTTGGTCAATAGAATGCTGAAGGCCAAATACTACCCCAATGGCTCAATTTTGTCTGCCCAACAAGCTCAAAATCGATCTTGGTTATGGAACAACTGGATGGAGGCAAAGTACACAATGCAAAGAGGAATAAGATTTGAGGTCGAAGATGGCAAAGCAATCAAAATATGAGAACAGCCCTGGATTCCAACTCTGCCTGGATCAAACTAACTCATAACTTGCAAAGCATAACAGAAATAAGATGGGTAAGTGAATTGGTGGATGAAACAGGTAGAAGATGGATACTGCCCTGCTTGAAGAACTTTTTAATGAAGATGAAAGGACAACCATTCTCAAAATAAAAAATCTTGACCCTAATTCAAAAGACAAAGTGGTATGGGACTGGGATCCAAAAGAAGAGTTTAGTGTTGCTTCCATCTACAATAAATTGGTCTAAGAAAATGGGGACAATTAGATCAAGCTGAAAACAGCACAGAGCAAATAGTGGGCAGGAAAGCTAGAAAGAGAAGCTGGTCACTCAAAGTCAAAGGGAAATTGAAACACTTCCTCTGAAGTGTTATTCAAATCTCATCCTTGTTAACTGTAACCTCATCAAGAAAGGAATTCAAGTAGACCACATCTGTAAGCTTTGTAGGGAAGCCCTTGTGTCAATGGAACATCTGTTTTTCCACTGTTCTAGAGCAAAAAGAATTTAGGAGTTAGTCCCAGTCTCTTGGGAAGGGCTGGAGAATGAGACATTGAGCTTCACGGGTTGGTGGAATAGGATTTGCTCCTTAAAACACAGTGTCATCTCTGATTCCAGAATCCAATTAACATTGTATATCTTATGGTGGATTTGGAAATCGAGGAACCAATAGATTTTTTGATGACATTTTGAGACTAGTGAAAGATGTGGTGGATATTGCTATGTCTGAGTGGCAACAATATTTGGGGTGTGAAAAAAGGTAGCATGATGTAACGCCCCATTTTATTTTAAAGAATTTATCGAATTTATTTAATAAAAATCAGAATTTTTTTTTCTTTTTAAAATCCAAGTTAAAACCTTTTTCGAGAAACGGGCGCTACTTACTAACATCAACCAACAACACACATCCAACAATACAAGGGAACTACACATGCACGAGCTAACAATAAAACAAATACCAAAACATAAGTCTACAGTTATAAAAATAAACCAG